CTCTGATGTTTACAGGACTCTCTATATTGCAAAACACATTTAATCTTTGCACACCAGGTCCTTTTATAAATATTTACACATGCATATTTCTCTCTGTGGAACACTGTTTTTACCCTAGAAGGTGAATGATCACATTTAATTAAAAAAATTGACAAAAAATAAATAAATCACATCATCCCCAGATAAACTAAAATTTCCCATATATTTCCTTTATTGACACTTTTGCAGCATTCATGGTTTCTGTATATACTTCCCTTATACTTTGTTATTATAAATGGGCATTGCTCACTATTATTTTCCTATTCCCTGTATCAGTTAAATGTGTTTATATACACCCATAGACACCAAGACGTGTTAGTATGATAAACCCAAGCCTGAATTCTTTACTTCTTGCCCTGGGCCTTCCCTCTCTCTGTAGCATTTGGTGGTCTATTGGTCATCTGTTCCTGTGAATCTATGTATCCATACTGCTTCTTTTTGTGTCCCTAACAGAGGACATAGCTCTGTATTTATTGGACAGTACAGAAAGAATGGACATGTCTATGGACAATGGATGAGGTATTCTTTACAGAAATCTTCAAAAGAGTTTTATCAAGGGAGGAAATAATTTACTGACCCCAACAAACACTGAAACACTCAGAATACCAAAATAGTATGGCAAGCATACACTACCATGCTGTATCTGTATGTTAATTGCAAAATTAATATTGCATATTTATTTATAGATTTGCTTCCAACCTATGGGCTGCTTTTAGCAAATGATTACCGGAACATACCCATGCATTTACTCTGAGTTAGGGTCATGGAAGAATATATAATTTACGATTAAAGTTGTGCATTAGCTTAGGTTGTAAAAGCTTATTACATGGTCAATCAAAGATAGTGAAGTTGTTTGTGACATTGTTGTCCTAAAGGCAGATTAAGCAAAAACAGAATATATAGTAGGGTGTCAGCATACATATTAAGGGATGTCAAGGTACATTATTAAATTAGCTATCAAGTACAGAAAAAGTTCAATCTCTATGAAGGTAAGAGACCATAAGACTGTAAATTATCTAATATTGTCTCAATACATAGTATGGTGATATTTTATTTGTACTGAAATGTGATTTTAATTTTATGTTAATAAATAAAGTTGC